GCTAGAGCCCACGCTTATACAGGAAGGGTGATAATTTCTGTTCTGGAAATAAACAATCAAGGAGGTATTGGGATAAAGAAGATTGTTATACTTTTGTCGTATCTTACGAAAGGTTGTTAGCTCCAATAAAATCGGTGAGTTACAGGTGCTGATGCGCGTGCTGCGGCATTCATTCTTTCTATGGCACTCACTGGAAGTTTGTTTCTCATCATTCAATGTACAGAAAAACAGTGCTATCTATCTATCTATCTATCTATCTATCTATCTATCTATCTATCTATCTATCTATCTATCTATCTATCTATCTATCTATCTGTCTGTCCCCGCCACGGTCTTCTAGTGGCAAAGGTACTCGGCTGCTGACCCGCAGGTCACGGGATCGAATCGCGGCGGCAACGGCTGCATTTTAGATGGAGGCGAAAATGCTGTAAGCCTGTGTGCTCAGGTTTGGGTGCACGTTGGAGAACCCCAGATGGTCCGAATTGCCGGAGCCCTCCACTACGGCGTCTCTGATAATCATATGGGGGTTTTGGGACGTTAAACCCCACATATAAATAAATCAATTATCTATCTATCTATCTATCTCTGTCTGTCTGTTTGTCTGTCTGTCTGTCTGTCGTCTAACCGTGAGATCTCCACATCTCTCCTTTCCCAAGCGCGGTTAGAGGATGAAGCTTTCAAAATCCTGCCGCAGTTTTCTCATTATCATTTTTAGCCTTCGTTAACTATCGGAAAACATCAGAGATGACGTGACAACACTTAACACAATCACATTTTCTCGTCGTGGTGCCTGTTTTTTAGGGGCGAAGCTCCTTATGGCGTGGATCTGTATGTATGTATGTATGTATGTATGTATGTATGTATGTATGTATGTATGTATGTATGTATGTATGTATGTATGTAACCACTGGCTTGAGTGGGTATGTGCCACAGAGGTTGCGATGTGGCAGATTGCGGTACTTGGAGTGTTCACTAGATGGGCGCAGGGACGGACGCATGGACAGATGGACAGACAGACTAGCAGACGGACGTACGGACGGATGGACGCATGAACGAACGGACAGACGGATGGACGGACTCCCGGACGGACACACAGACAGATGTAGGGACGAATGAATTGACGCACGAATGGTCGCGCGGACGGACGGAAGCATGGACAGGCTCATGGACGCTTCGCCCCTCTCTTCATTCGCTCCGTGGATATGCTGTGATTTTTTTTTTTCTGGAAATGCAACTGTGTTCATTCTTGCGTTCTTTTATATGTACCTTCTGTAGTTTTAAAAGAGTCACATATAGACAAATAATACTATTCATTTAATTATTATTTGTAATGAACTAGTGCTCTAACATCGTTTGAAAAGTATTTGCGTAAAAATTTTCGTTATTACTTTCACAATACATCATGTCGATCTTATTCCGTGGATCAGCCAGTGCGAGCTGTTTATTTTCCTTGCACAAAAAAAAAAGGAACTCGGGTTCTACGGCCACCTCTTGTGACCTTCTCGTAGCTGATAGCATTGCGAGGAAATTACTACAGTGCTCACTATCGTCGCGTCAACAATTCAACAGGAGAAGCACTCACAGTCACACATATTCGCGCTTGAGCTTGAGAGAGAGGGAGGGTTGGGGGGGTTGGGGGAGGAGAAATTGGCAAGAAGCGCCAGCACACGGAGAGGACCCGTTCCGACTCCTAACGAACATGACGCAAAAACTGGCAAGCGGGCTTCAGTAGGTGAAATGAGCAGCACGAAATCGGCACGCAAACACTAGCTCACATTATTACATCACCTTATGACATTTCTCGTCACTGTGGCTACTTATTCCGGATTTATCTAAAAGCACCAGCAAGCTGAAAAAAGTGAAACCGAGCCCCAAAACTGTTTTCTACCTTTCATGTACTTCAGCAGTATCTTGAAGGCATTCTTTCTTTCGAGCATACAGTCATAATTTCAGCGCAGCCCAAGAAGCACTGTGGCATTAAAAATTACGTATCTATGTATTTTCAAGTAAAGGAACACACCACCTAATACTTGCGTGTTGATGTTGCTCCTCATGTACGCGTAATATTTACTTTTTGATCGACAGTGTATGAACGCAGCTACCAGTGCGAAATAGGTGGGCGTTCAGCAAGGGCTTGAACTTTGGGCGGTTGGCCGAAATGTATGACAGACATACAGAAAGGCAGACCAATATATCTGCGCCCAAGTTTCCCGAGAAATGCTATCGTCTTTAAAACAGCGTTTGCTTGTCGAAACATGGGCTCTGATTCAAAGATATTTCATTTTCTTTAATCTTCTACCTTCCCCTAAACTAGGGCGTCAGCAATATACTATCCCGCACAGAAAAAGAAACACACATGCACATCATTCCAAGTTATCTCACTTCGTTTACGAAGTTCTCATGTTACGTTTAACGCAGTGGCCTTGGTGTTTTTAAAGTATAGACTTTCGAAAAATCGATCGAAAAGGGTGTATTTTTGTCCCATAAAAATCATCATCGTGCGGCTTGCTTGTACTTACTTTCTTGAAAACTCGGCGCTGGCTACATTCCAATCAGGAAGGCCATGTGATGCAGATAACGCGGATGTCGTTCGTGACCTGAAACTGTCGGCCGCCAGGCGATAGTGCAAGGAAAGCAACGCAAGTAGATGACGATTATTGTTGTGGTACAAAAAAAAACACCCTTTTTAGTCGATCTTTTCTTTGAGTGTGTACATACATATGAAAAGCGTATGGTTTCTCATCGGATCAAAACATCAACGTAATCCCTGCAGCTACGCTTGGTTTTATACGCAGCTCGCAGCTTCTAAAACGGCGCTGTTGTCAAGCAAGCTCGTCGTCGTAGGTAAACATGCAGCTGCATTACGGCTGTGCTCAATGCGACGTGCATCGAGTGAACTAGACGTATTGCGCGGTACAGCTGCCTTCTAGCGTTTCATCTACCTATTTGTCAGACGACACGGCCGTATGGATTACTGCAACCGAAGCGAAAAGAAATATAGATAAAAAGCCTCGCGTTCCCGGTGAGACAGCAGCACGGCGCCGCGAAATTTGAGTCGCCAGCGGCTGTTTGCCGTGTTCTCAACGAAGAATAAAAAAACGTAGTTAAACAAAGTCGGGATGCTTCGGATTCGCTTGCGCGCGAGATTGGGTTTTACATTACACAACGTCCCGTTCGGGCCACTTTAAACGGCTGAAGCTTTTGTGGGATACGGGCATTCAGAAAACATTACGAAAGAGCTTGCCGTTGCCATGGTTACCACTCTGAAAAGCCTTTATGCTTCCGTTTGAAACGGGTACGTGAAGGAAAATTATTTCTCTGTGTAACTGGCAGTGGCGACCCGCTCTTTTTGTTGTTCACCACAACCAGGCTGTAAAAGAAGACTCTTTGTCAGATCCATGTTTTGCAACATGTCACGTCTTGTATGTGCAGGAGCATTTCATCAGCTAACCTACCCCTGTGGGAGTGCTTTTCTTTCAGTTTTCGGTTCTCCTTGTGCAAACTTTGCAACAGAGGCGCAACAGCATAAATCAATTTCGTTTTGTGCCTGGTTTCGTGTTCGTTGTACCGCACGATGAAAATTTTGTGAAAGGCTAGAGTGGCTTGGCTTTGAACTAGCGTAGGTTCGCTCAATCTGTCCACGCCGACTTTCGCTACTTTATAAATCCTATAACCTATATTGATACGCGCACAACTGGACATCGGCGTGGCAACACCTACATAACGGAAGCCTTATAAAATGTCATTCTCCCAAATAAACCAGCCTTGCCTTCAATGAAGTGCAGATGGTTAACAAGGTGTCATTCACGTACTGTTGAGTTCCACTGCAGTGCAAGCAAGGACGCCGGTTCGATTCCAAACTTCTGTCTTGAGCCTATACAAACGTTGTTTAAGTACAAACAATGTTGCAGGGTAGGTGAACCTGGCAGACTTGTCCGGCAGTTCAGTCACCTGAGCGTCCCTTTCAATGTCCCATATGTCACCACGAATCACTTCATTCAGCGTGACAAAAAAAAAATGCCGCACGTAGGCGACACACATTTGCGTGCTATCAGCGGTCTTTCATTCAGGACTACCAGTGTGATGTTGCATTCTAAGAACTGTTTTACTACCCGTCTTTACGGCTGAAAGCAGGGGACCAATGGCAGGCCATAGTGAGAAACAAGTCATCGCTTGATTTTCGTTTTTGTAACCATTACGAATCTTGTTTCTTCTTTCTTACTCGTCCCGCAAAGGAAGGAGGGAACACCTTACAAAAAAAAAAACACTCCCTCCACCCTTTCCCTCATATTTCGGAACCCTGCGGGCACTTGCCCTTATATTTCTTCTCATGTTCCTGGAGAGCTTCCTTCTTCTATGACAGTAGCGCTTAATTAAAGAACCAGGTAACTGAAGGCCTGACCACAAGTATCCGCTGCAGCGCGTCAGCGCGTAGCTTTCTGACGTGGGGTCACTCCCTCTCTCTATTGAGAGAGAGGGTGCGCAGCTTCGTGTCGCGACGCGTTCTTTCTCTCCATTGAGAGAGGGCGCGGCGCCACGTCAGAAAGTAACGTGCTGACGCGCTGGGACGGATACGTGTGGTCAGACCTTTAGTCTCTTCTGCAACATACTAATAGGCATAAGCGTGAGCACAGGTAGAGGGGGCTAGTCAGCTACGAGGAGGGGGCGTAAAGTAAGCACTACACATTGATATAGGGAGGGGACACTGCAACTGAAGGAGGCGAGGGGGTTGCGATGAGCCTTCGCCCACCCCCCAACCCGACCTCCTTAGCGGGAATCCTGTGCAGGCATATGGTAACAGGTTATACTTGCGATGACGTATGTTCAACATCAGAAACGCTACCTCTTCAGCATGAACCGAGTACAATGAAATGGAGAATGGTGCACCGCACCTGACACTGTTAATAAAGCTTAACCGATGCGAGCCCTGCAATCTTTATCCGTGTATGCGCAACAAGAACTCTTCGTTTACATTCTCTTGCATCTTGTTCTTTGCGCAGTGCCCCTTGAGCTGCCGACATGCCCGACTCCAAGCCGGACGCCAACGCCAAGACGCCCATGTTGGGCGGGGGTGGAGGGCCAGCAGGAGTCATCCGGTTAACACAGCCGCCCCGGGGCATATGGGGCAAGGTGAGCACCCCTTTAACACCCTTTCATTTACTCTGTCCATGGCGTTGAGCTGTTCGAATATGTATATTCTTACAACTCCAATGGTATTTTACTCCTAACAAGTTCGACATACAATTCTAGTCATTCACATCACCCACGGAGTATATCACTGAAGGTTAGCAACCGTTTACTGTCGTTCTGTTGTTACTCCGTTTACAACATTCATAAAGGCAATCTTTGGGATTACTACTACACCTTTTCAACCGAAAATCTTCGAGTTCTCCGCGAATATATACTATCAGTTGTAATCTTTCACCTCGTCAATAATCGTTCGCTTCTTGTATTATATAGGGAACAGTTCGATATCATGGCAATGTTTGTCAGGGTAGTTCTTTGGGATCTCACAGAAGTTGTGGAAAGCGGAAAACGTTTGGGATGTCTTTGCGAGGATATGTGCTTCAAGCAGGTGCTTAACTGATTCTTCGAACCTCCAGGACTTGTATGTCCAGGCTTTCGACAATGGAAGACAGGCCTTTAGCAGCTTCTTTTCGTATAGTGCAACCCCCCTGCCCCCTTCCACCTCCACTATGATTTTTCTCTGCAGAAGGTAATGCTGAGCCACACAGAGGGTTTGAAATCAACACAATAATCCACCACACATGAAATATTCTGTTGGATTCTTGCTAGCTTCCATTGTCTCCTGCTCTTTGTCTTCGACAGTTCACTCGTACTCGGTGAATTTCCTCTACCCTAAATTGCCAGTGTTGACTTAGAGATTAGAATAACAGAGAAGTTCATTGGTAAGTATTCCTTCTAAAAAGCCTGGATCCGTGTTGGCACGCCCTGTCTTTTAAAGAGGACTTAGACAGTTACTTAGTGCAATTGACTTAGGGAGTGCAAACACTTCAACGCGCGCTCTGCTCTTCACTATATCCTCGCATAGTCTACATATACGAGCACTCGACGGCATTAAAAAGACACATGTCATGGCCCACTAGAGGTCAATACGACCGCGACGGTTTGCAACGAGGTGTCAGATGTGTGCGATTGCCATTGCGTCTGGCCACGAAGCGACTGCGGCAGCTGCAAGACTACAGCAATAGCAAGAATGTTTGGGCAGGCGACGACGAAAGCTGCAATCGACTGACACGTCGCTTCTGTGTCGCGACCCATTTCTCACGTTTCGGCTTCGTCGTTCCCACCCACGGCCCCGGCTCGAAGATGCGGCGACGAAATTCCGTTGTTATCGGAGAGAAGGAATCCATATCGTCGGGTGCGACGGCTTTAGCTCCTACGCCGACTTTTGAAGGCGTTGCTCGTCGGGGTGGTACAGATAGCTTGGAAACGAACATGAAAGGGAGTACGCGTGTGACAGTACGCAAAACGCTTTGCCGGGCAAAAGCCACTGATTTCTGGCTCACGCAGTCGTTGCAGCACTGTAATTTTGGCCGTGTAGACATTCAATATCGCAGCGTTACTATAGGCTCTGATTGCAACGACAAATACTGTTACCACAATTAATGAAGCCGTTGCTAATTGTTTTACGGCGTACAGAACTTTAACAGAAGCGACTTTTTTCTTTTCCTTTGAAGATATGTAAACGTTCATAACGTGTCAAGAGTATGCTTTGCTGGGATATTTATTTATTGCGCGATAGTGTTATAGAGCTCGTTTCGCATCAATTCCGGCGTCGGTACTGTTGTCGTATGTTGTGAGTGAAAAAATTATCGTTTTGTGCGAGACCGAAAAACTGAGGAAGATGCAAATAAAAATAAGTAATAGGAACTTCCGGGACGAAGTGAGGATCGAACCCGGATCATTTGCCTCTCAAGCACGTGTATTACCACAGAGCCTCGCGTCTGCTCTTGTATACAGTGAAAATGTCTTCTGCTTGAACACGCAGTGGAGGTTAATTTCCACACTTTACAAACACACGCATCCTGTATACGTGCTTCACGATACAACATAAAATATTGCAGTAATAATGTACGGTACAGGTGTAAGTTGCCATCCGGTGTAAGAACATGTGGTTATCATAATGGCTTCGTGTTTTAAAGCAGGTCGTTCACTACAAAACGCACGCGCGTCACTGTGCCCATTCCCCTTATAAGGTCACGTAGTGGGTGCACACCAAGTGCGAAAAGACACGTGTCACACTAAGTGTTTGAAGAACGCACCATAGGGGATTTCACTATCGTGTTCAGTTCTTGAAGGCGGAGCTTAAGGGTCCCCCAATTTTTATTTGTTTACTTATTTTATTTATTTATTTTGTTGTACCTGCATTGCCTTTGCACGCAAATAAAGCACGTGGAAAGGGGGGTCAATCGCTCTAGAATTTCTATTCGATATGAACAGACAAAGCGTGGCGAAATTAATCATTTGTGTCTGCATGCGCATGGAACGTCTGTCGGAACAAGGTTCTATTTCTTTATGGTTTGAAAAAAAAAATAATATCGCTAAACATCAACCCTATGAGGAAGTTCATAAACTTTCAAAATGGGCTGCCGTCTACGTGAAATATGTTGTAGCGTGGTGTTCTGGTCGCTACTTGGTTGCCGCCGCAGAGACGATCAACACGTACGCACAGCAGATTCATATACTTTCTCCTAACTGATTTATTTGGCTAAAACAGTTCTGATTGACGTTGTACACAATTGTACGCTACATAACTGGGACAACTCTGCGCAGCACACGCTGCAAACCGCTCTAGTGGCGTCCACTGTGCGACTCTCTCCCGGTTCCCCTGGCAACAGAGTCCGCCCGGAGACCAAACCCGAAAGCACTACACAAAACGTCTCTCTTGACATGACGATAGTTGTAGCGCGAGAACAAAGGAACGACACAGAGACAAGAAGGACGCGAAAGACACGAGCGCTATGCCATGCCAACTAGCCCGAGCTGCCACATCTCTCTTGACGACTCAAATTGGGTGGAACGAATTCAAACAGGTACATCCAAGCGCGGGGGGCCTCCACCGAGTTTCACCCCGAGGACTGCTGTCAACCTAGAGAATAATGACCTAAACAGAAGTAAACACACACTGGAAACTACCGTGATGTCCGTTTAGGCTTCCCCGGTGCAGCCGCCCCGCAGACTGTCCGGCGTCGCGGTGAGTCTTTGACGACCTTCTACCTGAGAAACGACCCTTCGTACGAGGAAGCTTCCCACGAGCACAACAAAGCCGGTGCTATACCACCACAACCCTACTCTTGGGGCAACTCCGGGACATTGGAACAAGCCAAAAAGAAAATGGCTACATCCTCGTTTACGCGACAATATGATGGAGGCTTAATTTACTTTTCTCTGCCAATTCGTGTTTCATGTTATAGTAAGCTCTGTGAAAATTTAGACCAGAGGACTTTCTTCTGTACGTTAGGTTCTGCCAATGAGGTGTATATTTGGCTTCAGTAACGCCTATATTTTTTATCATAACTTCGCAGCACAAATGTGATTGTTCTGTAATCTGGACTTTCACGTAAGTCGGCTTGTTCGCGAATATAAGAATCCTAGTAAACGCAGGCGTGCTCGAGGACCGCACATACTTGAATAAAATACTGCTGTTTTTTTTTTAGTTCATTCTAATGAGGCATTAAAGTCATCTAACTTCTTAGAGAGCGAGAAGATCGACATAGCACTAGACACAGCTCTCCTACGCGTATCGAAAATGCACCGTAGTGTGTCTGTCTTTTTTTCTTGCAAAAACAGTTTGCGCTATTCTTTACCTGGCCATTTCACACCCGTATTGTGCTGAAGCTTGCATTCGCCACTTATATATTAACATGTTTGATTTGCATACACGGATACACTACGACAATAGGGGAAAGAGAGAGAAAGCAAGCTGGACACCCCCATCTGGAGGGGCATAACGCCAGCTCACTTTTTTGGGCGTAGGGAAGGAACAGAAGAAAGGAAGATAAGAGGGGAGAAAGAGGAAACAAGGGAGGGAAGTAAAGGACATAATGAACCCTACATAAGCTTGGGGGCTTTCCCTCAACCTTCGCCGACCAATGTAGGAGGCTATAAGGATCAACTTAAGAGTCTACGTGCATATTTGGAGATGTCAAGAAAACGTTTGCCACAAGTAACCCCTCAGAGATTATTATAGGACAAATACGCAACCATCTGCACCAATGTAGTATTGGAACACACATCTGTGTGCGTGTACCGGGGTGGGGTAGAGGAGGAGGGGCATTTCACTTCTGACTGATATTCCGTAATTTTTAACACCGTTTTCACGGGTTCATTGAAAATAAGTTGTCATTTCGGGCACGTTGGAGCTCGCTATGATACTTCTTTGTTGTTTATTTCGCTTCATAAGTATGTGTTTTAAGTTCAGTACAGTTTTATTGCCTCGAAGCCCCCAATTCAAGGCGCGTTGCATAAGGTATTTGATTACTAAGTCTGAAAAATAAACAACGAAAATTCTTGTAGGGAGATAAAAAATTATTGTAGGGAGATAGAGTGAAATCAAGATAAAAGAAAGGCGGTGCGTCAAATGAGAGGAAACGTCCGGTTTTCTGCCCTATGTTTCGGAAAAGTGAAGGGAGTGTAAAAGAATGGAATCAAGGAGCAAAAATCTGTAGTGGCATTAGGGTATTGTAGTCAAGGAGTAGTTAAGCTGCTTTGAGGAATAATGAAGCAGGAAACGTGTTGCCTAGATTAAACCGAAGCCACATTTGAATCCAGTGTCCGTACCATCCATCCATCCACCCACCCACCCACCCACTCTCTCTCTGTCTCTCTCTCTCTCTTTCACACACACACACACACACACACACACACACACACACACACACACACACACACACACACACACACACACACACACACACACACACACACACACACACACACACACACACACTTACAGTAAAACAGAGCAGCAAGGACGGATGAAAACGCGTCGATGGCCTGTCTACTTCGCAAGGAGAAAAAAAAACGCGGTTCCTTTCCAATTTGACCTCGACTGGATGTGTCATCACTGAAGGTTGCAGAAGCGGTGTTCGCAAGGCGCGCCTCTACTGCTTCTTCGTCAACGACGAGAACGTGCGTGATGGGAACTAATGAGGGGAGACGGGCGATACGATGATTAATGAGCCCTAACGGCGACGACGACCGCGACGCGGGATGAAAACTTACGACAAGCACGCCAAGGCGATGGCGCCACGCCGGACGTCATCTCGCCTGACGACGTGGATCTTTGTAGGCACGCACATGGTAGATGGGTACATTCACCGCCCGCATATAAGTAAACTGTTGGGTTCTACATGAAAGGGGCCCTGCAACACTTTTGCAGCATGGTCAGAAAACGCTGCCGATCGGTACTATAGAGGCTCCCGACGACACGCAAGCCAAATATTATGGCGCTCCACGAGACCTGGAATTCCCTATAAATTACCAAAGTCAGCTAACAATTGCTTTCTCTTCTCTCGACAGATCGCGGAATAAGCCCAAAAATCACACGTAGCAAGCCCATCTATCAGCTATTGGCTGATTTGAACATGGCGCGCTCGCTCGTTACAGAGATCGCCGCAGGAGGTGGCTACTTGTCCACGCGCGCGCGCGATCACACTGAAAAAGCCGCGAATTCAAAGGAATAAAAAAGTACTCAGGGTCACGAGGTGCACGTGACGTTTTTTTTTTTGTGTGTGTGTGTGTGTGTGTGTGTGTGTGTGTGTGTGTGTGTGTGTGTGTGTGTGTGTGTGTGTGTGTGTGTGTGTGTGTGTGTGTGTGTGTGTGTTCCTGTCATCCCTCCCTGCTTAGTTTCCAACGCTTTCGTCGGGACGAGAGGTGAGACAAGGCAATTGCAGCGTGCGACAAACCTTTGTAACTCCACTCGCACTGGACGGATTCTCAAAATTATTGCGGCGTTGAATTCGTGAGGCAGTTAACTCTTCCAGTGAATTCATTCTATGGTAACTTGAAATAGTGTTCTAGGGACCCTTTGTGCGAAGCACTCTGGGGTCCTGCGTTGTCATATGTTGTCGCACGCTGTGATTGCTTGGCGTAACGCAGGGAAAAACCACGTACACTTTAGCCATGCATTGCGTATTGAGTGCGTTCTCGCGCCAAGCAGAAGTCTTCTTCCTGTTTTTTTCTTCTTTGCTGGTGCTATTAAATGCACCTTAATGACCCAGGCTGTCGTATGCCCTCGTTGCTTAGCGCAATGCAAGTATCCCCACGCATAAAAATAGAAGAAAAAGAGAGGAAGCAAGATAATAGTACTAAGAGAAATAAAGAAAGGCAATGGTAGGAGTAATATTAGAAATAACTATAAAAAAGAAAAGATAGAAACGCTGGGAGAGAAAAAGAGAAAAAAGAAAGGAGGGAAAAAGAGAAAGAAGAATGGAAAAGGAAAAAAGAAAGAAAAAGGAAGAAAGAAAGAAAGAAAAAAGAAAGAAAGAAAGAAAGAAAAAAGGAAAGAAAGAAAGAAAGAAAGAAAGAAAGAAAGAAAGAAAGAAAGAAAGAAAGAAAGAAAGAAAGAAAGAAAGAAAGAAAGAAAGAAAGAAAGAAAGAAAGAAAGAAAGAAAGAAAGAAAGAAAGAAAGAAAGAAACGCCAGGCCTGCGCGAAAGGCGCAGCACAGTCAAAGCGACGCTAGAAAAGTAGCCTTTCAGAGCCTTTTTAAACACTCATTGGGTAACTGCTGCGGCACACTTGCTTGATACCCACTACGGCAATAATATTAAATATTTTATGGTAGTAGGCCGGCATTTGCTATGCTATTCTTCGTCATCCTTCTGAGAAGCGTGGTATCCAATAGACTTTTGCGAGCAATTTTGGGCCAACTGTTCATGCAGTGGCTGACGACGATGAAGAATCATGCCTGAAGTGGGTATGCGCCACAGTTAATAGCTGAACAAAAAAAAATGCTTTTGTAATGTGTTCAAGCATTGGACGACCCACTCGTTGTGGTTTTTGCATTGTGCGACGACTGCATGTGCTTTCGCTGTTCTAAGCGCTTTATAAGATGTAATAACGAGATTGCTTTCCCGTCATCAAGCTTGCCTAAGGCAAGTTTGCCAACAAGTCCCAAGCACCGGTGTTACTCGGTGGTGGGATACTGGGCTGGCACCCAGCGGACCCTGGTTCGAGCCTCACTGTGTAATTGAAACTTTAAGTTGTTTTTTTTTTTTAATTTTGCGCTATCTGGTTACGGACACCGGTGGCGGCGGCAGACAACTACGGCGCTGCGCGAGACGTGAGTTGTGATCTCATAACAGCTTTCGCTGTAAAAATCGAAGAGAAACAAACAAAGGCTGGCCAGCTCCACTTTTCTTTCAGGCTTAGCTCTCCTTATGTGAAGCTGCCTTAATTTTTTTTTTTTTTAGTTGCAACCACCCCTATTGTGTCTCCTGTTTCGCTTTCTCTTTGTTCAGCTCCGCATTAGAAGAGCAAGTGTGGGCTGTCCAGCAGGTCGGAGATAGCCGCCCGAGCCCAAGACTTGCGGCCGATGCCTAGGCCGTGGCTGGACCCCGCCCCGAATGGACTTTGCTGAACAATTATTAATAAACCTCTATCTCTCTTTCTCTCCCTGCAACGAACGCTGTCGTTGACGCTACCTGTGGCAAAGAGGGGAAGCTGCCCCTCTCACTGCTAATTGACCTTTCCCTGTGGAAAACAGTGGCGCTTCGCCCCACCCCATGTTTCACCTTAGCGGAGATGTTTTTCTACAATGTCAGTGATAGACGACGACCCTTTAGGTACACGGTGGCCGTCGTCCGGTGTTAAACCCGCGTCATCGGTCTTATAGTAATGGTGCAAGCAATGCACGTACAGTTCACATAAGATATATATATATATATATATATATATATATATATATATATATATATATATATATATATATATAGCACGACGCACACTGGTTTTGCACGGTATATTTGCTGACTGACGTTTCAGTTGGTGGACCAGCCACACTTTGACAAAGCCTGGTCCACCAGCCGAAACGTCAGTCAGCAATTATACCGTGCAAAACCAACATGCGTCGTGCTCTATTTTCCTTATTCTACCAGGGCCAGCAATAATTCCTTGCTGCAACTATATATATATATATATATATATATAATTAGCAACTATATATATCTAATTAGGGATAAAGGAGCACGCTTACGAAAATTTGATAGTTGTTTACTCTATGTTTCGGCCGTGGCACGGCCTTTGTCAGGATACTGACGAAGGCTGTGCCACGGCCGAAACGTAGAGTAAACAAATATCAAATTTTCCTAAGTGTGCTCCTTTATTCCTAATTATATTTGCACGGGACCCACAGATTTTGTTTAGGCATATATATATATATATATATATATATATATATATATATATATATATATATATATATATATATATATATATATATATATATATATATATATATATATATATATAATAAGTGAAAGAAGTGTATACCTAATGGCTCGTTTTTCTGTGTTTTAACACAATAATAATGAGATCTAACAGACAGTAATGTCAAGGAATGTACAGGGGAAGTTATTAGAACCAATTGAATGTAAATGAGAAGAAAGAAAAGTGGATGAATTTCATCCACTTTTCTTTCTTCTTATTTACTTCAATTGGTTCTAATAACTTCCCCTGTACATATATATATATATATATATATATATATATATATATATATATATATATATATATATATATATTCATTTATTTATTTATATGTATTAAACTCGTTTTTCAGGTTCCACTGTACTCAACCATTCCGTAAAACTGTTTTGATTTCACTTTGATGCTTAACTTCTCACGCTATTAAAACTGGCGCGCGTGGTCTCACCGTGAGTCGATACACCTTGAAGTATCGTTTCCTCGCAGATCGGGACATGGATGAAGGACAACCTCCTGCTGGTGCTTACCATAGTGGGCGTCCTATTGGGTCTCCTGCTGGGATTCTTGGCGCGGTTCTTTGTGTATGGCGAGGATGTCATCATGCTCGTCTCCTTTCCGGGAGAAATACTCATGGGCATGCTCAAAATGCTCATTCTGCCCCTCATTGTGTCGTCCATGATATCAGGTAGGACATGGCAGTTTTGTCATTGCACGCTTCACCGTATCGTTTCATTGCCACTGTTTAAAGAAAAAAAAAAGTATTTAACGATTCAGGGCACTTCGTACTCTACTATAGGAGAGCACTAAGCTGTTTCTAGGCACAAAAACAAGTCCTCCCGCGCACTTCACTGTCTTAGCGAGAGATTTTACACCCAGTCATAGCTCATTGCTTTCATAATAATCCACAGAGACCATCCCTGGCAATTGCTCACCTTGACCCCAGGCCGAGGTCTTTAGAGACTATTCTGGTATGTCGGAATCGGAAACTATCGTAGCGGAAGACGACGAAGACGTTGTTGAAATCTTTAAATACAATATGCTTCTACGAGTAGCTCTTCGCGCTAAATGTGTTTGACGTCACCGACCAATGATGTCGCATGCCTCACAAAAGTGACCGATGTTTAAGTTGTACACGTGCTTCATCTGTCCTCCTCCTGTCTTGCAGCCTTGTCTGCCGCGGGGATGTAAAGGCTAAGGGACTCGGCTGCCCCGCCGCGGTGGTCTAGTGGCTAAGGTACTCGGCTGCTGACCCGCAGGTCGCGGGTTCGAATCCCGGCTGCGGCGGCTGCGTTTCCGATGGAGGCGTAAATGTTGTAGGCCCGTGTGCTCAGATTTGGGTGCACGTTAAAGAACCCCAGGTGGTCGAAATTGACGGAGCCCTCCACTACGGTGTCTCTAGTAATCATATGGTGGTTTTGGGACGTTAAACCCGACACATCAATCAATCAATCAATTAAGGGACAGGGCCGCTAAAGTCGCAGGTTCGGTACCAGCCGCGGCGGTCGCATTTCGATGGACAGCAAATGCTGGAGGCCCTCGTGCAGTGCGATGTCAGTGCACGGCAAAGAGCGCCAGATAGTCAAAACTTCTGAGGACCTCTACTACGACGTCCCTCGTAACCATACCGCGGTTTTTGGACGTAAGACTGCAACAATTTGCCTTACGTCATTACCTGTCGGGCCACTTTTCCCGGTGTTTTAAACACACCGAGTGTTCTGAGCTAAATTACCTCCCTCTCTTTCCACTCTTTCCTGCTTTTTTTTCTTTTGACATATTGCAAAGTGCGTGGTTACCTCTTCATATTAAAAGGTTAACTACGTCAAACAAATTGTTGTATACAATCAACTGAGAGTCCGATCGCAATCCTTGTAATTTGGGATGCTCGCTAGTATACTGCTTGTAAAAAAAAAAAGTTATTGTGTGTTGAACTTGCGATAAACTGGAACTTTCAGCTACTGGTAGTTGAAGACCACCTAGATAACGCTAATTCATAATTCGCACGGTAGGTTCCTAGGCAGTTTCTCACTTCTGTAAATGTCGGAAAAACATGAATGGGAGGGAATCACGCTATAGCATTGATAAGTCAGCCTCTTCTGAAGCTTCTTGCTCCTGGCGTTCGGGCTGGTTTCCCATGATCCCCCTGTTTGGTTTCCTTTTTTGGTGGGTTCGTTAATAGAAGAACAAATTTACGTCTGTGCACCTAGCGATCACAAGCCAACCAATTTGGTCACCGTTTCCTCCCCCACCCCTCGTTATCCATACGCTGGGCTCAGTTCTGAGCATGCTCCTGTTTCAATTTTTGAAGGCTGGCCTTCAAAATTTCCCGCTACGTATCCTGCTACTTTCTTTAAGATGCGAAGCAGGTCGTGGTTGGAGCTTGTCCCTTGTCCATCGTCGTAGCCACGCCAGTGCTCAGAGCGCGCACTAGATGGCTCTGCGATGGAGCGCTCGCTCCATTCCGTCGCATGCTCCGGCATGAGTGTAGACCGCTGGTGGCGCTGCGGTGCTGCGCATAATAAAAGCGCCTACTCTTATCTCTCACACACACAGAATGGCAGTGTAAATGAGCCCACTGAGCGTGAGTGCGACAGAGGCGAGGTCTCGCGAAGCGGTGGTGTGCGCAAACATGAATGTCTACGGTTATGAATAAAAAGCACCTCTTTACAGAACTTTAGGTCAACCCATGGCTGCTTCGCATACTACTCAGGGTTCTCTTCACGGCGAGATGTGTGCGAGGTTTGCCTGCATGCTTTTGTGAAATTATGGTTTGCGAAAAAACAAATTGGTTTACTAAGAACTCGGCCCACTTATGCTCAGACCAAGCCGTAAATTCCACCGCAGACAGTACCTGGTATTTCTGTGTCCCAGTTACCCGGCAGAGCGAACTGCTCGAGTGCCTGAGTTTGATTCAACACCGGTTACGCAGACTGGGGAGCGCTTAGTCTGAGCGAACGCTTGGGCAGAAAGCAGCAATATCCTTTGAGGTTTCAGCAACCTCCATTTACTTGCCCCGGCCCCTACAGATTGTACTGATTTTGCTGACAAAAATGTCCCATTTCCACCCTCTTCACATTTTCACAAATAATTTTTCGCTAGCAACTGCACCTTCACCTCCCGCTGTCCCAAATAATTTTAATTGAATGATTAATATGTGGGGTTTAACGTCCCAAAACCACTATATGATTATGAGAGACGCCGTAGTGGAGGGCTCCGGAAATTTCGACCACCTGGGGTTCTTTAACGTGCACCCAAATCTGAGCACACGGGCCTACAACATTTCCGCCTCCATCGGAAATGCAGCCGCCGCAGCCGGGATTCGAACCCGCGCCCTGCAGGTCAGCAGCCGAGTACCTTAGCCACTATACCACCGCGGCGGGGCCCGAATAATTTTAAGGTTGAACATTTGCGGGCAAACTGGACAGTTGGTATTGTAGTGTAAATATCGTGAGAAGCTTTGAAACTGAGACTTTGGGAAGTACTTCGAACGCCAAAGGTCTAAAATGGTAAAATGTGTACGTAGCGATCGGTTCATCAATCAATACTCTAAATACGTATCAGTAATTAGTCAGCATGCATGGTTATGAGGTGAGTAGCGAGCCAGTAATGAAAAATGATTTGAAACTAAACTATATTAAGTACTTCCAGCATCATGCGTTCGCAATTGAACTCCTTGAAATCACTGTTTCAGTGCTATAGCGAAACTGAAATCAGTGGCAACAATCGCGCGAAGGCATTACTGCGGTGGCAACTCTTCAGTTGAGCCGCACTGATCTTTCCCTTAGGGTTGTCGATGCTCGATCCAAAGTCAAGTGGAAAGATGGGCTCTCGGGCCCTGGTGTACTACTTCGCCACCACCATCTTCGCTGCCATTGTGGGCATCATAATGGTGTCCGTCATCCATCCCGGTGACCCGTCCATCAAGGAAGAAGTGGGCACCGGAACAGAAGACAAGAAGGTCTCCACGCTCGACGCATTCCTGGACCTCGTCAGGTGCGTTGCGCTTCTTCATTGCGCCGCAATGCTACCAAGTATTTAGTCGACGAAGGTGTTCTCTACGGTCTTGGCGTGCGCTTTGTATTATTTGTCATTATATAGAGGGCATCCATACACCCTCTTACATCACCCCCCCTCCCTCGCAAGTTGCTCCCGACACTCGGAAATTGTGATCCAGTTCGTCAGAGTATTGTGTATTAGCAGCTGGCGCTATCTTTAACACGACCCAAGACTTGACGTACCGATCGCATTGCAGGCTCAAATGAGACCTACCCGTGTATTCAAACTTTCATCAGACCAACACGGGGCTCTTGACAAGCCTAAAACTATGTCCCAGTTCGTCAGCGTCATGATGTAGCAGCTGACATTATATTTAACACGACCGGGATATTTGCCAAACCGATCACGCGTTAGGCACAGATCAACTTTTAGATTAGTCCTCACAATGAATAAGGATGAAGAATCCCATGTGATAATGATTATCTAATTTAATTTGTCTTTCTTAAAGATCCAAGCTGGGGTATTCTGCAAGTGTGTAAACATCAGCTCCACAATGTGGGAAATCCTCTACTATACCTACCCCGAAACCAGAATTGCCTGGATGGCTGGATAAGTGCCTTAGACAATACATGTAGACGGATGAGGATGAAACTTCGCTTTATAAAATTTGAACGTGGTTAAGCTATTGGACGTTCGGGGGCACCCTGAACGACATCTCCGACCGTGCCCGTTTCACCAGCTGCGACTGGTCATTGGAGCCGGTGGCATCTTACCACGTGCTTTACACATGGTACCGGGACCCATTCTTTGTAGACAAGAAAAAGCGATGCCGTTGGCAAAATATTGTTTCATGTTGCTTCCACAAATGCAAAGAAAAGACACTTCTACAAAAATGTCATTTCCAAAAGGTTATAATAGGTTTTCATGAATGGAGACTTTAGTTGCACACGTGGCAAACACGTTGCAGTATGTGTAAATTTTAGCTTTCAGTGTTTCAAATATATTTTAATGATTCCCAACGACCAATAGCGTAACTTTTGTTCACACAACTATGTACCAAAAAGATTATACTATTTTCAATACTTTCAGCAGTTACTCCTTAGTAAGCGAACGCTGCGCGATATGCCCTCCACACTATCTTTAGCTCGCACACCAGCAGTGCTGACTTCTGCTGCTCGCTCATGGGAAATGGTTGAAGTACACTTTGGGCCACAAAGAGGCGAGTTTTCAATGACACTTGGCAGTTTGCTGCTGTGTAACTTTCTTAAGAAGTCATATCCTTGAATTCAGACGCTGGTAATTAAGAGGTTAAGGTGCACATATCTAAGGGTTGCCAGTGTACTAAGTTAGGGTGTTTATCATGGCACCGATCGCCGTCCCAATCACCCTCTGAACTTACAAGGGTAGATAAAAGGACCATTCCACAGATCCTTGCTAAACGTTATGCACGAGTTCAACTTGTTTGTTCATGTGCGATGAGCCTCTCGTGTTAATATGTAGTATTGTTACGTCGAAGGGTGGTGTTTAAAAAAAATTAAAACAGGAGACCAGACTGGTCCAACTTTATTGCGGTCGACCAGAGAACGCTCATTGATAGGGTGCTTACGTTTGTCTTGCAGGAACATGTTTCCTGAGAATTTGCTGCAAGCCTGCTTTCAACAGGTGGAGACAACATATGTGAAAGAAAAGCCGAAGCCCCGTTTCATACACCCCGACGAAATGGTCAATGCCACGAACACGACCTCCTACGTGTTGAAGCGGACGCTACAGTTCAAGGATGGAACCAACGTTCTCGGTGAGTGGCACGAGTTCGAAGATTAATGTTTCGATGAAGCGAAAAACCCCAAACCAGCAAGAGGTCAAAATTTAGGTGTGGTGTTGTAGTTATGCACGAATCTATATAGAACGAACACGTGGGCGTTCGATTGTTTCGAAACGGTGCCGTAGTAGAGGAGGTACACGCGTTTGATGATCGAAACGAGGTGATCACTTGTTTCACTCTTCCCTTCGCTACCGCCTGTTCGTTGGCTAGTCTCCCCTTCCAAAGCCACTTTGCCCTCCTCGCTGCATGCCCCTCCCAATCTTACTCGAAGCACGTCATAGTCGACGCCTTCTTCTAAACAGTGTCCACTCCCGGTTACCGCGGCTCCGTCAAATGCCTGCCTCTCGGCTACTCTCTGTTCTTGATTCAGCTTGCGCAGCTTATAAAAAAGCTACACATTACTGTTTGTTAGAAATTTGGCCGTTGCGTTACAGGCGGCATTGGTGAATTCGCCAGCGCGCACACGCAAGGAACAGGACGACGAACAGCAAGAAGCACGGGCAGCTGCTTGCAGAATAAGCGGAAGTCGTAGGTTCTTGTTCAACCAGTGGTAGCATCAATTGTTTATAGCATCACAGATGCAAGATATCGACGTCCCACACGTCACTCGGAAAGCCAGAAACGCCGAACAGGAGAAAGGACTGTTCCTTGGAACTTGATGCGCGACCACGGCTTGTAGCATCTCACGTGTGGTATCATTAATCGTGACGTCGTTCTGAACATGATTCGCGTGTCTACTTTCAATTATTCTGTTCCATAGTATGGTACATTGATCACAAATTTAACGTAAGTATAAGGGTTTGCAAAAAAGGCAATTTACTCTCCAAGTGCCGTAACCTGTCCCAGTAGATAAAACGCACGTGGAGTACACATGTCCGTAAATTAAAAATTTACAAATCAGCCACAGCTCAACGTGTGAAATGTTTGAAAAATTGTCGGAGGTGGTTTAGGGGCTCTTTTAGCGCGGCGTTCCTTGGGCCCTTGAGCCAGACATGGCAGGCGAATGAAGTGATTCAAGGACCCATGTGACGTAGCAATAACGGCATGCTGTGATATGGCCATATAACATCATGTTGCAGCGTCATCACATGATGACATCATCACCTAACGTCAGCAATTGGTGTCGTCACTTAGTCAAAGGTGGGCCAGTGCAGCACTGTGTATGGTAGGTAGGGTAAATTTCATTCAGGTCTTGAAGATCGACCCTTAGGTTGACGCAGATGGCTCCCACGTTGGGGCAGCAAGGTTTTACCTTACCCTTATGTCTAGGGCATTCTGAAGGGTCTGTCCTTGATCTGAAAGAGCCACTGTGAAAATGGTTGGTAGCGTGAGTTGGTGATTCGTGATGGTTTAAAATACGAGCTCGATACGTACACAGGGGCAGGACAGACAGGGACAAGTGCTCACTACCACTGAAAATTCAATAGAAAAGCTGTGAAATATATACTGACAGATTAATCATTTTGTAAGAACAAACGATAAGACCGAATGGCAAACCAACATAACAAAATCGATATTGATAGATACGTAGGGCTTAACGTCCCAAAACCACCATATGATTATGAGAGACGCCGTAGTGGAGGGCTCCGGAAATTTTGACCACCTGGGGTTCTTTAACGTGCACCCAAATCTGAGCACACGGGCCTACAACATTTCCGCCTCAACAAAATCGATAGAATACCTGTGTGTATCAGCCTCACCTTACCAACGCCCACTTTGCCTTACAGCGATCCCTTGACGCCTAAGGCGTCTGCGACTGTCCAAAAACGCAAGCTCCCTATGGGACAGAGCTATCGAACATGTTTGCTCATGCAAACGGAGAAACCAGCTTGGTGACGTGTACACAAGAAGAGAAGACGACACACACACGCTGGATCAGAAATACACGTCTTCTCTTCTTGTGTACGCGTCCCCAAGCTGGTTTCTCCGTTTCTTCAAGTATGTACCAACCGGCCCAGCAACACATTCTCTGGCTCATGCAAGCCAAATTATCGCCCGCTATGTTTCCAGCTTTAATGATAATCCCTGTGTGCTCAACTCTGTGTTTAATAACCATGACTGTATTGTCAAACTTAACCTCACAGCCCCATCTACTGACATGCTGGGTCAGAAAACCGTCCTTTTTGCTGCGAACGTTACAGGTATGCTCCCGCAATCTGTCGTTTAGGCATCTTCCTGTTTGTTCAGTATAACAGGCGCCTCACGAAGGCGGAATCCTGTAAGCTTGTCCGTGTTTTTTCTGTCCCTGTCTACGCATCACGCTCTTATTTCAAACCCACTGTGAAGGACTGTTTGCCACCCGTTTATGTCCTTGTCACAGTCTGTGAAAGCCACAGGTCCCTGCCAAAACATATGGTTGCAAGTACAAGTGGGGTGCGAAAGTTCAGAGGGGAAGCGGGGCATTCACTAGTTGACCGACTTGAACAATAAGGAGCCAATAATTTTGTTTACTCATAATGAATTTGTGGCATCACCAACACACTTACAAGCCAGTTACACAATGGCATCGCTCAATGAGCTGGTATTTGTCACTGGCTTAATGTTCTGTCGAACACATCTGAGTCACGAAGCTAGGCGTCTTCGGCCTATCTACTTCCGCTCAGCTGTCCCCCACGTGAATGTCGTAAGCACTTTGTGGAAGTCAGCGACGAAATGACAAAGAAGCGCACATGAAAGGGAGATGTAAGATTCTAAATGATAGCGCGAACAGTGCACCATAAAGAAAAAAATACAGATTTGCAGAAACATTAAACACGCCACGTCCGGGAAGGGAATGACGACCGTTATGTGTCATGTTTACGTGGTCTCCCTTACTAAGCTGAGATTACAGGAATGAATAAAACAGTCAGAACGTTGAACCACAAGCAGTATGAAGCGCTCACGCCAGGTTCACAGCATAACGGTTCGGAATAAGCGGACACTAATGAAAGAAGCAATTCATCGTATGATTTTCTGTCAGTATTATGAAATGTAGCGTCATTATTCAATAGAAAACGTACGTACGCGCGTATGCATTTATCACTCGAAATGTTCAGCATGCACTTCGTTAGTGTCAACCCCTCCGTTAGCCGCCAGTGTCAAACAATAACATCTCGTTGCTCTGACAGTCAAATCTAATAAGGAATAGAAAATTTGATACCCAGAAACGTCGCACTAAAACAAAAAACAAAGTCGGCAATATAGGCATCAGACACGCTCTGCACAACTAGCAAAAAGGCATTAAAAAAGCCCTTCATAAAACTCAGTTTTGTTTCTTCTCTTAGAGCGATTCTGGGAGAAAAATTAACAGCAGAGTTTTGGTTCATGTCTGTTAATTTAGAAACAAAGGTTCTGAAGGGTCGATGTTTATGTGCGCAAAGTTGCTGTTGTCACTGTGGTGATGTGCAGAAGGGGAGGGGGGGGGAAGATCAAAAGTTTCCTGGCCACGTTCCCGTAGAAATACATGGGATAGTGGCCTGCGAACTTTTGACCAGCCCTGTAACTTCTCACATCACCATGACCCATAAAACGGCTGAGCGTTTGCCGGGATTTGAAGCACATTGCTCGCAGCGAAGAGGATGAAGCATTAACAATTCGTTATTCCTCCTGCCTTTAAAGACGACAGCTAACAACTTGTGGATTACGTCTCCCATCCGTAATTTTTTCCTAAGATGCACAAATAGTAATGTCATTTCGGCCTAAGTTGTCTGGGGCATAGAGTTTCCTCAAATTAACTAGAGGGAACTACGGCGCTGCCATCGTTCAGCGACCATAGGAATGATGGGTAGTACACAAATTTGCCTACGTACTTGCAGGTGGCGAATCGCACTTGCGGCCTCGTTTATTGCTAGTTTCAGTTTCGTTTTGAAAGAAAGAACGAATCATTTTTAATTTTCTGGCCTCATTCGCAATGATAAGCCTAACGGAATAAGATGGTGAAGCGCAACTGCTGAACATTTGTAGGTTTTTGTTTCGTGAGAAAACTGCTCCAAACCACACAAACACACACGGAGCCAGAAGCATGTCAGAAGTACGAAGATTAGACAAATCTGTGTACTACCCATCATTCCCATGCTCGCTGGAGCGCCGTCTGTTGCAGCTCCCATAGACACCAGCGCCAGAGTTCCCTCTAATGTATATTAGGAAACTCTATGGTCTGGGGCTATCAGCACGACGATGATAAGTGGGTATGCCTATTAAATAGCGTTGTATCGAGCCTCAGAACCGGACCTATAGCTATTCTGAACTATTACATAACCGCAAAGTGCTGATCCAGCATTGATGCACAGCTAAATTTAAAGAGAGAAAGAAAGGAAGTAATAATATCCTCGAGCGCCACTTGTAGCTTTTGAGTAATCCGTTCGCTTGATAATAGCGTTGTGCTTCCGCTTTCTATTTAATTTTACAATTTATATATGTTCGAAACCCTGTTGAAACAGTTCTTGGGTGGTAGGGCCATTGTCAGGCAGTTAATCTGCCTTCGGCCTTACCATTCCCTGACATGTAACATTTTGACATGTAACATGTTGAAAATAAACAATAATGTTATTATCATTAATACTATTATGATTTGTTTTCTTGCACTTTCTGTAACTATTCGTGATTGACTGATTGATGTGCGGGGTTTAACGTCCCAAAACCACCATATGATTATGAGAGACGCCGTAGTGGAGCGCTCCGAAAATTTCGACCACCTGGGGTTCTTTTAACGTGCACCCAAACCTGAGCACACGGGCCTACAACATTTCCGCCTCCATCGGAAATGCAGCCGCCGCAGCCGGGATTGGAACCCGCGACCTGCGGGTCAGCAGCCGAGTACCTTAGCCACTAGACCACCGCGGCGGGGCTATTCGTGATTGCAGTCGTGCGATTGTCACTTAGTCGAAACTTCTGCGTAGAGGTGATGTGCGCCAGAAAACAAAGAGAGCACATTAACCAAATGAAACTGTTCAACCGAAGTGTGTAAATCCTTGTCGAGGTTTCACACCGATCCC